CCATATGTCCTGCAATATGCATCGAACTCCTTGGAAGTATACTCGCCTCCATTATCAGATCGGAGACATTTCAGCTTCTTTCCTGTTTCACGTTCCACCATGACATGAAATTCCTTGAAGTACTCAAACACCTGGTCCTTCGTATTCAAGAAATATACCCACACCTTTCGAGAAGCATCATCAATGAAAGTCAGAAAATAACTGCTTCCACCCAGTGATTCAACCTCCATGGGACCGCAAACATCAGAGTGTACCAAGCTTAACAACTCTGATCTCTTTGTTGAACTTGTATTGAATGAGACTCTATGTTGCTTGCCGAACATACAATGACTGCAAGAACCCATCGCCGCACTCTTATCAACCTTGATAAGATCCTTCTTCATCAGGGTAGTCAGCCCTTTCTCACTCATATGGCCGCGTCTCTGGTGCCATAGTTCCTGGGAAACCTCCTCTGCAACATTGAGACTTTCTGTACTGATCTTCAAATGTGTTTTGTACAGCGTCCCACAAACATGTCCTTGGGCAATTTTCAGAACACCCTTTGACAACTTCCATGTGCCTGCGTCAAAGTGATTTTCATATCCTTCTTTGTCAAGAGCCACCACTGACAAAAGATTCAGCCTAAGATCTGGCACATGCTTGACATCCTTCAACAAGATTGTACTCCCGGTTCCTGTCGTTTCCTGGATATCACCAATTCCGGCAATTTGAGAGGAGCTGGAATTTCCCATCTTCACCGATCCAAAGTCTCCAGCTTGGTATGTTGTGAAGTATTTCCTGTTGGGAGTAACATGATAGGATGCTGCAGTATCTACCACTCATTCCATGTCTTCTCTTGAGACATGAAGGCATGTCTCACATGGTTAGAGCAATATGCTACATCACCTGAGACAGTGATAAGAGTTTCACCACCCTTGCCCTTGTTCTTCTGCTGAGAACTATTCTTCGGCTGAGAATTGCTCTTGCCCTGCTCCTCGAGCCATTTATAGCAATTCTTCTTCATATGACCTTCTAGACCACAATGATAGCACACATGTGATCTCCGATCATCTGATTGCCTCCCCTTGCTTCTACCCCTGCTCTTCCCTCTACTGCTTCTTTGTTGCTTGCCTTGTGGTCTTCCTCGATTCTCCGTCACAAGGGCATGAGTCTGATCTGTGCTCATGTCTTTCCTTCTTGCCTCTTCATTGAATAAGGCATCCTTCACAACGGACATGGAAGGTTTGCCGTTTGAGGCTGAGTTGCTGAGAGTAACAACGAGTGTTTCCCAGCTATCAGGAAGGGAACTAAGAAGTAGCAGAGATTGCATTTCATCTCCAAGCGGCATCTCCACACAAGATAGATGATTTACCAGGCTCTGGAACTCATTGGTATGCTCGGCAACAGAAGTTCCACTTTTCAACTTCATATTGACTAAGCGCCTCATCAATAAGGCCTTATTCCGAGCGGTCTTGGCTTGGTACATGTCCTCCAGCTTCTTCCAAAGGACATATGCGTCGGTTTCTTGTGCAATATGATGGAAGACACTATGATCAATCCATTGTCGGATTTGACCAGTAGTTTTTCTATTGATTTTCTTTCATTCTAACGCCTTGGACGGACCAGGGTTAATACCCTTCACCTATATTGGATCAAAGAGCTCTTTACAGCTGAGGAAATCTTCCATCCGAGGTTTCCACAGCGTATAGTTGGTATCCGTGAGCATAATCATAGCTCCAGACGATGAAGTTGACTCTTCCATGACCATTTTATACCTTCAACGATCTGTTTGGGAAAAATCGGCGCTGAATTTTGAAAAACAGACAGCACCGTTGCGTCCGGAACAGTCGAAAATGGGGGGGGGTATTTTTTTTATGACGTGGCAGTCAACCGATGACGTGACATTGACTTGCTGATGTGGCAGCTGACTGGAGTGCTGACCTGGCGGCTGACTGGGATGCTGACGTGGCAGCTCACTAGGCTGCTGACTGGGTCTTCCTTGCTGATGTGGCGATGACGTGTCAGATGACGCGGCGACACGTCATCATCTTCAACCTCAAATTTTATTTTATTTTTTTTTATTTTTTTTTTATTTTTTTTTTCAGAACTTGCGGAGGCTTTTCGAGGCAGCTCCGGTGTTCGTTTTTCGCCCGTAAGATATCACCGCGACCGTTTCGACGAGACGAATCTAACGGTGTCCTTGAAATTGAATTTCGAGCACAAAGCAGAAACTCAAAATTTCTACAGAGCCTCAAAAAAATTCGAAAATAAGCTCGAAAGCTTCAAACCAAGCTCTGGTACCACTTGTTGTGGTATCATCCCAAGATCATAAACATAATTTGAGAGAAAAACACGTTTCTACACTCACAAGAATAGAAACACAAGAGATTTACAAACTCTAAACAAAAAACTCTCAAACACTCACAACTCTTTCTTGGTTGTGTTTCAACACTCTCAAGGTTGATTGATCACTCAAGGATGATTCAAATGAATGAAATAACAAGCCTATTTATGGGCATGAGCAAGCACACCGTCGTTGACAATGATGTGTGAATAAGGAGGGTTAGGTGAAGGTGGAGGACTAGTCTTCTTCTTCATTTGTGTGCTGCAAGAAATTCTTCCTCTGTGTGTTAGTGGTAGTTGGGAGACTTGCATGAAACTTTCACTTTTTTGAAGGTAAATTTGATAAGTTGTAAGGGTAATTTAGAAAGTATTATTCACTTTACGAGGGTAATTTGATAGTTTGGTTATATAAATACTGTACCGATAAAAGTAATCTCACCCTCAAGCCGAGATCAAATAATCGGCAAAACTCAAAATAATTCCCATTTGAGTTGCGGGCGTGATCTAGTCGGGCGGGCCGCAGTCATGTAACACAAATTTAAAACTAAGCCCAAATTAAGCCCATAATCTTGTCTAGTAAACGTAGCGGCGTAGCCTAATAAAAGTAGATATAGGGTGTGTTTGGTAAAACTAGCTGATAAGCTAGCTGATAGCTGATAAGCTAGCTTATAGCTTATATGTGATAAGCTAGCTTATAGCTTATAGCTTATGACTTATAGCTTATAAGCTAGCTTATATGATAAAAGTGTTTGGTAAAAGTAGCTTATAAGCTAGCTGAAATAAAAAATTCAACGAGCTTATTTTGAAACGCTACCTAAACAAGCTTATCAAATAAGCTCGAGCTTTTTAAATAAGCTCGTCCTACCAAACAGGGCTTATTTAATACAGGAAGTTTATAAGCTAATCAAATAAGCTATAAGCTAGCTTATATGTCATACCAAACATACCCATAAACGCTATAAAACAGCCTCCCTTTCAATAAGTACCCTCCCAAAACCCGCGATTAAACTCGTCTTCAACCTTCGGCGGTGCTTTGTGCTTTCGACTGCGCAGGTTCTGTATTGTTGCTGCTCCTCAACCTTAAGTCTCAAGTACTGTCTGTTTTT